CGACACTGCTTGCTCTTGACAAACATAGTCACGCCTGCCCGCTGATCATACGACTGCAGCATATCCTAAAAGATAATCGGCACGCACATGTTGACCTAGTATGGATTAAAGCCCATGCAGGTAACATGGGTAATGAGACAGCGGATGAACTCGCTAAAGAGACTGCTTCGAACCAAAATGCCAGACCGATATCAGTATCAGCACCACCATCTTTCCTCAAAAGTCAACTGCGAAATGCCGCTATCCATTGGTGGCAAAGAGATGGGATCAGGCGACACGGGAAGGAGAGCGCATAGCTTCTTGCCAAAAGTAACCACGGAGCGCCTTATGGCAATTGCTCCCCTTACCAACTTCATTACTGGTCATGGGTCCCTTCCCGGATTACTTCTACCGCCGCACCATCTCAACCACGGATCGCTGTGTTTTGCGGGGGTGAGGGGTCCCGGACCATTATATCTTTCAGTGCCCACTCACGGAACAGTTCCACTTCCCGATACCAGCCATATCTCAGCATTTCAAAAGTTCCTAGCCAAAACAGAGCGGCCATAAATAAAATCTGCAAAATAATAACCACCATTGCAGCATATGGCCAGGACCTCTGTCAACCAGAGTAATAGGGCTTACATGCATTACTTGCACTGACATATGCACTCTAAGCTGCTCTACCATCTAATCTCTGACTGCATAGGGAGCAGAAGAAAATTGAACACCATTTTTAGGTGTTTAATTTTCTTTTGTTATAACCTATTAAGTGTTTTTTTTTTTTTTAACCGTGCATGTATGTTAATTCAAATGTACTTCAAATGCCAGATGTTAAACAGTTGCCCCTGTATGGCCATGTATCCACACTTATAACTATTAAATAAACTCCAGGGGAAGACGCGGGACATATGCCTGTTAACCTCTGTTAAACTTCAGGCGTCCCCGTCCTCCGTCACCTGTCACCTGTAATCTAAGAGAATTCAAAGTTTTCTTCACCATAAATTTGTATGAAAATACTTATAGACCGTTAAGCAATTCGCATCAAGAAATATAAAAACTCAACTGTATCCTTGATGGAATTGGTATCATGAATCTTCTTCTAGTTGACATGGTAACCAGTTTAACCATGGATGAGACACAGATGAATGGGGTTATAGACGCTAAATTAATTGATTGAAATGTTTATGAATTAGTTTTCAGTATGTAATAGCTTAATGGTAACATCAACCTGACAGACATTTGAATATTTCTTCCAAAAGAGTTAAGTGCTTCTTCCTTTAGTACCAAAATTTCTGGGACTTAGTTTGATTTATTTGCTTATGATAATAAACTTGAATGCTATCTGCTTAAAGAGAGGGTTTCTTGAAGACCTTCTAAGGTTTCTAAGAAAAACTGGCTCGTGTTTAGGTTACACACGGGAAAAACTACCAAAATGCCCATACAGCTAGCCCGCCGAGATTTGAATCCCAGACTGAATTACCAGTGTTTAGTGACTTTACCGCAGATTCACTGATGAGCATTAATATTACTGGGAAATTCAAACACTATAAATAATCTTACGGAATGTTCTTTTTTCAAACTTTTTATTATACGAGTTCTAATTTTAATAGCAAATAAAAGAAACTTTTGGTAATTGAAACAATATAACTAAAAATTCAATTTTTTAAAAATCATTTGAAGTTTATTCAGGTACCTTAAGGGAACTCATACACCTTAAACCCCCTCATGATCTTCGAATATGTGACTGTTGCAGGAATTGAGATATTATTTATTTTAAAAGCAATTACTTCCAACTTTTTACAGATGACTACATAATATAGCTGCTTCGGAAACTAGTAACCAGAAAGTTTGTGTTGCCACAAATATTTTTCTAATTTAATCCTCTTTGTGACAAAATATTTCGCCATGTTTCTATCTTGCGCGCATGATGTTTTAAAAATGGCTAATGGTACATACTTGAAATTGGATGGAATTCTTGATATTCTATTTTCTAACTGAACCAACAATCTGATGAATATTTTAGTATTGAAAAATTTTATGGACGGAAACATTACAATTTTTTTTAATAAAATACATTTTATAAACTCATCTCCAAATAAAATAAAAATTTAACATGAAATTTTTAGAATTTTAGGTTCACATTAGTTTCCAAATGTTATAAAAGGTATATATTAAATATGGAATTAAATTACGAAACAGAATGTTTTAAACTGTGCGCGCAAGTTGGAAACATGACGAAAAATGTTGTCACAAAGCGGATTAAATTATAAAAATATTTGTGGCAACACAAACGTTCTGATTACTATTTCAGGAAAGCAGCTATATTATGTAGTCAGCTGTAAAAAGTTGGTAGTAATTGCTTTTAAAATAAATAAGTTATCCCAGTTCTTGTGACAGTCACCTATTCGAACATCTTATGAGTTTTAAGGTGTATGAGTTCCCTTAAAATATGTCGAAACAATATACATTTTGAATATTTAAAGTGTAATTGGGAACGCAATGAATATATTCATAACTGTCTAATCTGTATAAATATATAACTGCTACTAAAAGGATTCGAGTGGTCCTTTTTAGCATAAAGGGCGTCAGTCCAGAAGTAATATTAATTTGGTTTTGTCATTTTCCGTTGGTTCTCTATAAAAGCCTCAATCACATTTCAAATTGTTGCCACCGAATGTTAGAGCCCTACATTAATTATATTTAAAGAAATAAATAATGAAGAATCTGCATGAATGTATGTATATTTCTCGCATTTGTGAAAATACAACGGTACCTTGAAGACATCAAATTTTGAATAACGTAGTCCTTCAATCGAACATGGGCATCTGGAAGCCCAAATCTGGAATTTGGTTTATTAGCTATTTCATATTTTGAAAAACTTTAACGAAATTTTGATTAACAAAACGATTTCAAAGCGATCCCTTAACATTAACAACACATGCATCATCAAGCACGGATATTTTCTTTACATTTCTTACTGGTATGTTGGTAGCGTAGCAACGCAAAGACGTTACAATGTTTAATGGTATTTTGCGTCGAATAACTCATCGCTTCTCAAGTCCCGTTTGGAAACCAACGCGAGAAAAACGCGTCTTTAGGCATAATACAAAACCTGATTTTTTTATTATTTATATTATTTATTTATTTTTGTTTTATTCTACTTGCATCAGGTCTCAAATTTATAACAGTGATTTACAGCTGAAAGTTCAGAAATAATAGTTTAAAATTAGCTGAAAAGTATAACTTTTTCAGATGCTTTAGATTTATAATTTTTGATTTGAAGCAATAATGATTTATTAAATTTTATCAAAGATTTATGTGAGATAGATATCTTATCAAAGATTTATGTGAGATAGATCTCAGAACTAATCATTCTTTAACATATTCTTTAACATAATGCTACATTAACATATAACATTAGCGTTAATTAACATATAGCATTAGCATTCATTAACATATAGCATTAGCATGAAAGTAAAATGTAAGAGAAGGAGAAACTTATCGAAAAGATAATTTTGCATGAGAAATTTAAAGAACAAGCATTAGAAATAAATTGTCTTCAAGTGACAAAAGAAAAACTGAATCATCTATGCGTGTCTAAGAAACAGGAGAATTATGTTTTAACAAAAAAAATGACAATGAAAAATCCGAAAGATTTCAAATTTTATATTACGCCCAAAGGGTTTTTTTTTAAAGTTTTATGTGGTACCTTTATTTATCAAATATCATGTTCTTCACACTTAAACCACATAAAATTCAATTCAACAGTAATATCACAAAATATTTAAAAACAGCATAGTTTTAGAATTTCCGATAGACAGTCTCACGCGTTGGAGATATTTTTTTTTTAAAATTTTTTTTTAGTACAGTGTTACTACTGCTCGCTTTGAAATCATTGAGTTTCTTCATCAAAACCTTATAAATGCTTTACAAAATGCTAATAAAAAATTCTTTAATGTTGCAAAAAATATGAAATAGATAATAAAAAAAATTCCGAATTTCGGCTTCCAGATGCTCATATTCGGGTGGAGACGTACTTTATTCAAAATTTCATGGCTCTACGGACCGTTGTTTTATCACAAAGCAAGAAAAATACTTACATCTATGAGGATTCTTCATTATTTAATTTCTTTAAATATAATACAGGGCGATAATATTTCGTCGCAACAATTTGAAAATTTAAAAGCCACAAAATACCAAAACGAAATTAATAGTCCCTCTTGGCTAACGCCTTTTGGGATAATAATGAAAAAAAAAAAAAAAAAAATACAATGTAAATTCGAAATCTTTCAGATTTAATATCACACCCAAGGGGACCACGTTTAACGTTTTGTGGGTTACCATTATTTATTAATTATCATGTTCTTTGCATGTAAACCATATAAAACTCAATTCAAGAGCAATATCACAAAATATTTAAAAACAGCATATCTTTAGAATTTCCGATAGACAGTCCTGCCGGTTGGAGATAAAAATATCTTTTTCCGTACAGTGTTGCCATTGCTCGCTTTGAAATCGTTAAGTCTCTTAATCAAAAATTCGTTAAAATTTTACAAAATGTTAAATAGATAATAAAACAAATTCGAAACTGGACGTCCAACTGCCGACGAAAGGGTTGAGTATTACGTTATTCAAAATTTCATGGCACGAGGTACCGTCGTTTTTATCACAATGCGAGAAGAATCATGCAGATTCTTTATTATTTAATTTCTTTAAGTATAATACAGGGCGGTAATATTTGGTGGCAACAGTTTGAAAAATGAAGCGTGAAACAAAATGCCGTTTCGAAACTAATAGCTCTTCTAGGATAATAAATATATAATGGAAATCTATATTAGTTAACGTTTTTAAATTTATTAAACATTTTTAGAACATATGTACTTTATAAGAGTTGGAACTAAGAAAAATTAAAAACTTAATTGGAATTAAAGAATTTCTTAAAATTCTAAAAAAAAGTTTTCTGGTAATTACTTAATAAATATTAAAAGTATCGCAAGCATGTTAAATGTTTCACTTACATTTTGGTAGCATTCAGAAGTTTTATTTCATCGAAAAATCATATCCTAGATGGTCTTTCAATTGCTAGATACTCTGTACTGGACATTCCATCAGTTACCTTATGTAGTCCGAGTCTTGTCAACGCCTCAACGACCAGTTCTGGAAAGACGTTTAAACACAACTTGCGAGAATTGTAAACAACAGTTTTTAAAATACGCCTTAGAGAAAATGGAACAATGTCAGTTGAGACGTTTTCTGAAAAAATTGCTTTTCATTTGTTGTCTGAGACATCCGTAAATTGGTTATTAGCATTGTGGGCTACTTCCCGAAATGGGTCAGTGGACATCCATGTGACAAAATTCAAATTCCAGTACGTTTCTAATGAGGAATTATGGGGAAAAACAAGTCTAGTTTTGATTCAGTGAAAACATTCTAAAGAAGAACCAATTGGCATTCCCAAGTTCAATGTCTCTTAAGTAATATAAATCCCCTGAAGTTCGCGAAGTGACAGGACTCGCGGCCACTTTGTTATACTTGACTGGAATTACGTAAATAATAGGAGAACATGAATAGGATATAAAACGAGAAGCAATCTAAATTGATCCTTAATGACAATAAAAATACATTATTTTATCATTATTTATCCGAATATTTGTTAGTAAAGACATAACATTAAAGATCTTGTAATAAATTTCGAGGCAAATGACAAAAGGAAATAAAAATGTTTTCCAGCCTAAGAATATTTCGCTTCGTCTGTGATACTTGTGGTGAACGGCGTTTTAAATCATTTCTGAATTATGTGTTTTAAATTAAACGTATGGAAAAGAAAAGTATTTTTTTCACTATTATAATATTCTTGACTGCATATGATTAGAAATAACATAACAGGGTAGCTAACAATGGCGAATTCTTAATCTAAAATATCAAAGAAAACCTTACGCAAACTGAGTGAGGAGTGAGGTTAAGAACACACTTACGTATATGTTATTTAATTTAATACTTCTATTATTTTTTAAAACTTTCTTGATTCCTATATAAGACGTATTCACACGTATCCCTCAACTTATATATGGGAGCTGCACGACTTTTCAGCGAACTTAATACTAAATTAATATAATTTAAGCAGGTGTTTTTTTATATATTTTCTCTTATATTTTTTAGTAAGTGCATTACATGAAAGTAATAATAAATGAAAACTTTTTCCTCTCTGAATATAAGGAAATTTTTCTTTCTAATATGGAGTAAGATTACGTTCAATTTATTTGAATTTATTCTTGATTTAAAAAACTGATCTCAGCATTATTTAAAGGCCCACCAATGGCCGAGCGGTAAAGACTCTAAACACTGGTAGTTCGGTACGAGGTTCGAATTCCGCAAACGGGCTGGCTTCATGGGCGTTTTCGAGTTTTCCTCAAGTGATAACGTGTTAATGCGAACACGGTTTCCTCAGAAATTCCTCCACGAAGGCACCCGTCCTTTCCGTGTAGCGTCTTAGGACGGAACACGTAAATAATAGTGATGATAATGATAATAATGAGCCGCCCAACCGGTATAGTGGTTAGCGTCGCGGACTGCCATGCCGAAGGTCCCGGATACGAATGCCGGAGAAGGGCATGGATGGTTGTAAATGCATAGTGTCGGTGCAGTATGGGGTCCTTGAGTATGGAACTCGGAATGTATTCCTGGGGTATTTAGAGGATTCCTTGCCAGTGTTGTTTTTGAAATTTTGCGTTAAGGAACATGAGGCATATGTGAGAATAAAGGAAACACAGAAGTCTTCTGTTGCTCAGCATTGTTGGTCCGAAAATCACATTTTCAACTTTTCTGCAGCCAAAATTATTCAAAATACATCTTCCATTGGTGAATTCGGTTTTCTAGAGATATTTCACATTCAGAAAAAAATCTTTCTGTTCTAGTTAACGACCCTAATTCCAATGCATCTTTGCCTTTAGCCTTTAAATAAATAATGTTTTATTTCTGGTTTCATCAACAGATGGCGCTAGTAGCTTGACTCCTGTCCAGTCTTTCTTATCTTATCTAATCACTGTATCTTATCTCGTTCATTTGCGCTTTTGCAGCTGAGGATGATGGTTCGGTAAAACCATCGAAACTTGCCCTGTGAAAATTTGAAAATAGAACGCTGATTTTTATTGTTTGACTTCTGAATTAGTATTATTTTCGGCGTGTTATTGTGTTTCAATTCAAGTAATAAAGGGTTTTTTATGATACTCTTTCCGCACTTTCTGATGCTTCATAAGTTCCGTTTCACTCTTTGAATTACAGAATGAGCATTGCATGATAGATCTTTCAAGCGAATAGCAGCCTTTAAAACATGAACTGATGAAATTTGCTATTAAAATCTTTTTTTCCGAGGATTATAGCCTCTGTTATTTTACGATAACATGATAGATTAGTTGAAATTCTTTCTTCTTAGCTTAAGTAAATAAGTAAAAGTAAAACAGTTTACTTAAATTTTAGCAAAAGTGAAACAGCAGCAATTTTCAGCTAACTATTACGAACAACATTTTGAATTTAAAGATTTAACGGATGTGATTGGGATAACATTGTAGAGACATTAGGATTTTTTTGGAAGCAGGAGGAATGAAAAATTAGCAAGCGCCTTCGCCGAGAATCGAACCACGGACCTCTGGAATACCGGCCCAGCGTGCAGAACCACTACACCACGAAGGCACGCTAGGAAAGCGGGAGAAATACCTTATATACTCCCTCTTTTAAAGGGCGACTGGGGTTTTTAGGAAACCCAATCGCCAAATCCTGAATGAGGAGAATCATCATCCACAAGCGTTTTAGTTCGGGCGCCAGTGTAGAGACATTAATCATATTTTTTTTAAAAGCCGGAGAGATGAAAAATTAGCAACCGCATTCACCGGGAATCGAACCACCGACCTCTGGAATACCGAGCCAGCGTGCAGAACAACTACACCCACGAAAGCACGCTAGGAAGGCGAGAGAATATAATATAATATCTTACACGTTTAAAAAGGTGACTATGCTAGATGATGGGATTGAAGCTTTAAAAGACGAATGTTATCCATTTCTTCAAGAAACAGTTCTTGTTGGTTACATATTATACATGGCAAATGTACTGAGCATGGTATTTTCAGTGATGCTAATTGGTTCATACAGAGTAAAATATGTGAATAAATGACGCAGCTTCTTTCAGATATTCTTGTTTTCACTTTAGAAATGAATAAATATGGCTTTAGATCAAGTTAATAAATATTCTTAGTTTATTTTCTTCGGCATGTAAGTAAAAATCTTCTGGCAGCTGTCCCAAACTGGCGGCATGCGATTCCTGAAGCAACGTTATGCAGCCGGCGACAACGAAATATTTTTTAAATGAGAATGATCGTTTTGTTTGAGAGTGCATTTACAGGAGAACAGTTTAGGGTCTTGCCTTGGACCAATATTATGGAACACAGTACTAGATTCTGTCCTCGTCCTACGTGAGAATGACGAAAATATAAACATTCAGGCATAAACAGATGATTTTATGCTAGTTGAGAAAAATCGCTCAGAAAGAGAGTATGAAACTAGAGCCCAACATGCAGTGAACTCATTCATAAACTGGGCAAAAGATCTTAAGCTCATATTTGCATCTAAAACGCAAAGCATACTCATTAGTTCGTATTGAAGACATACTCGTACCCCTTGGGTTAAAATTAATGGAGATGACATTAAAATTGTTGTGAAACACATGAAATACTTGGATGTTTGCGTTGATGACCGACTTATGTGGTATGAACATATCGCGCAAATTAAATAACGATCGCACAAGTTGTCTAATTCGTTCAACAAGAATCACACCAGCCAAATGAGGAGTAGCCTGTAGGATGCTAAGAATATGGTATCAGAAAGTTGCAGAAAAAGTAGCTTTGCATGAAGCCTCTGTTACGTCTGCAGCTCAGATCTGCAGAACGAGCATTCCTCCTGAGCATCTGTCGAGGCTACAGAACATCCACTATCAATGCGCTAAACGTTCTAACTGACCTTTTCCCCTTCATGTTGATGTACAAAGCGAAAATGCTGTAGTACGCACACTTAGACTGCACGCTAATACATCTCTGTGGGGCAGAGAGTTCATCTGCATTGACTATAAGCGCAATAGCTCAACAGTGCTCTGCCATTTAGCAGAATTCGATCTTCATACGAAATTGCAAGTTCTATAAACTTTTGAGTCATATACAGGATATAATGATGGATCAAAGGGGGAGCAAGGTATGGCCTGTGTCTTCTGTGTGACCCGAGGAACCAGCAGCAGTATATTTACCGGGGCACGGTAAATATACTGCTGCTGGTCCGCAGAAACTAAATTCTGGCAATGCATTGCCCCAAGCTGAGTCTGCAGCTCTTAGAGCAGCAGTTCATTACAGCATTCTATTTGGTCACGAATTAACAATATATTCTGCGCTCATGTACTCATGCACAGTCACATCTGCACTCATGTACAGACTTTACGGGGTTGGAAAAGTCAGAGCATCGTAGCTGAAGAGATTCAGATAATGCTGCCCTCCTTGCTGACAAATGTCAGAGCAAATCTCCATTGGATCGGTACACATACTGGAGTGCAAGGCAATGAAAAAGCAGACGAAACGGCCACATTGGCAGCCACGGATGACGGACGAATGTACTAGGATAGATGCTGTACATACCATGAACGAAGTCACACCTGAAAATGGACACTTGCTGAATGAATGCACAGGAAAGCGACCTCTTGATGGAGCTGTTGCAAAGTTCCTGGGATAACGATGGCACTGTCAGGAGAGTACATAATTACCTTCCCAAGATCAGAGATAGATTACGCAGTGGTATTGCTGAGCTAACATAATTCCTGACGGAACACGGCCCATATATGAGCTATTTATTTTGTTTTGGCTTTCGAGACAACGCGCAGTGCATATATAGGGGGGTGTGGGGACTCTGATTGTTATATTTTCGACTGTTAAGAAATAAATGCTATGATCTCCGCAATCTGTCAGTTAAAAACCAACATGTATGGGCAAATAACATGCAACCCATACGCGCTCAGATGTGTTCAGAAATGTACTAAAATAGCTCTTGGAAGCTCCAATTGACTAAATAACTAGACGGCATCCTCCCATAACTAACGGCAGTGAAAAAAAGTACCATAGATTAGAAAAATTAACAATATTCATATTTTGTCAAGTTAGTGGTATATCAG